GGAACAGCCTATCCCTGTATTCCTTCCAGGACTTCGCTGTGCCTTTGACCTTACCTTTAGGAATCTGGGAAGAGGCATGAACAGAAAGGGACAATGCAGTCATTCAACAGTTCAGGAGAAGGAGATAAAGCTAAGGCCACGGTTTGAGGAGAGCAGCACTGTGAGCTGGGCCTGTTCTAGGGAGGTTCTGTAATCACCATTGGAGGCTTGGGGCCTGTCTCTTCATTTCCCTTTAGGATCTCCTCTTTGCCTCTGTAGCACTTCTGTTTGCTTATCTTCTCCCAGATGGAAACGTTATATAAGTAGTCATTTTCTTTATGAAAAACGCAATAAAGTTGAAACTTAAAGTGTATCTGGCCCCAGGAAACCTCTTTTATATTCAGCCTGTTTTCCTAAGTGGTCCCTAGCTGCCATGGTTTTCTATTCACTGCGTAGTTCTTATGGTAATTTTTCTCTCTCTCACTTAATTTAGGCCACTCTGTAGGCCCAGCCTCCTGACAACCCACGTCCATCGGTCCCCGGGTATTCTCCTGGTGCATCCTTAATGAACTGTTACAGTCCTCAAGAGAATGGCTCCTTGCCTCCTTCTGACACTGGCGGGTGACCTGCTTACCGCATGTGTCTTCAGCCGGTGGACCAAGCTTCCTCCTTTTCCCTTGGACCACCCTCTCTTCAAAGAGCAGATGACTGTCACTCTCTTTGACCTGCATGCCAGCTACAGCTTCCTCCTCAGGTTCCGTGAAGTCCCTGGCTCATTCGCTGTTAGGTTGGCCTCTAAAACCAGGCAGCCAAACTGTTATCAAAGCGATTGCACCTTTTTACATTTTCACAAGCAGTGTATATAAAGATTCTAGTTTCTCTGCATTCTCGCCAACACGTCATTATGTTTTTGATGACATTCATCCTAGCAGGTGGAAATAATACCTCTTGTGGTTTTGATTTTCTAATCACTAATAATGTTGAGCGTCTTTTCATGCGCTTACTGGCTTATGGGAGGAACCCTGGAGAGGAGTCTGGGCAGGTGTTTGAGAAGAGACAGTTCAGAGAACTATTGCAGCAGAGTGAGTGGTCCTGTCTCCCCCATGCCAACTTCCTCCCATATGGATGTGCTAGGGGTCGTGGGGTTGGTGAGATGGAATATATATTTATACATCAGAACTCTTACACTGCTGCTAGACTGTAAGAGTGCAACCATTTAAGGAAATGATTTGGCAGTTTCTTACAAGGTTAAACATATACTTACCCTATAACCCAACCATTCCACTCCTAGGTATTTACCCAGGAGAAGTAAAAACACACGTCCTCACGAAGGCTTGGACAGATATTTCATAGCAGCTTTATTTCATCAACAGGAAAATGGATAAACAAATTGTGGTACGTCCACATAGTAGAGTCCTACTCTGCTGAGTAGTGTACAAGTTCAATGACATGAACTAACCCATGCAGCAGCGTGGACAAATCTCAGAAACATTATGCTGAGAGCTAAGGAAGCCAAACACAACAGTACATACGTCAGACTCCACTCATGAAGTTCTAGAACAGGCAGAAGTAACGTGGAAATCAGAACAGAGGTTGCCCTGAGGGTGGAAGGTACTGGCTAGGAAGAGGCATGAGGGAACTTTCTGGGATGATGGAAATGCTCTCTTATCTCCTTGGGAGCATGGCTTACACAAGTGTAAGCATTTGGCAAAACCCAGGAAACTACACTTAAGATCTGTGCATTTTGCTCTATGTAAATTATATATCAAAAAACAATTTATTGCCATTTGGGAAGATTGGAAATTGCATTACACATCAGAGGTTATGTTTTACTTGGTCTTGTTTTTTTTCTTTGTGATTCGTAGCTTGAAAGTCTTTTTGTTTTAAAGCACATTGGCCTGCCTGTCAGGGCACTCTGGCCACAGCCGGCTGAGCGACTAGCCTCCTCTCCCTCTATTCTCCTTCCTTAGAATGCCCACATCCTGCTGTGCCCCTTAAGCATACCAGCCCTAGCCTGGGATCTGGCTGATGAGACCCTTAAAGGGACTGGATCTTTTTTGTCTTAATATTTCAAGACATAGTTTGACATAATCAGCAGGAGTAGGGGCCATGTGGTGTCATGGAGAGCCTGATTTTTTCTGTATACTGGGAATAATAGCACTACTTTGTAGTTAGTTGTTGTCAGAGTTAAATGAGGCATCGTGGGCATGACACCCATCCCTGTGCTTGGCACACGGGGGCCAGAAAGCATGGCAGCTGGGGTCCTGGCTTCTCCTGGTCTCCTGTGGCTTCTGCACAGCAGGTACAGCGGCCAGACTAGCATGCCTTCTGCTGCTGCAGGCCACCTTCTGGGGCTCTGGGCACACCGTCTTTCCCGCATGTCCTGTGATGCCATCTTATGTCTCCTTGAGAGCTGAGGTAGGGAACTCAGCTAAACGATACTGACCTACTATTCTTATTGCGTTTTAAGGGTATCAGCATGGAAGCCATGAGTGAGAATAAAATGGTACCCTCTGACTTTAGCACAGGACCTATGGAAAAAACTTCCAAACCTTTGCCATTTAAGGATCCCAACTTTGTGGTAAGCATCTAAGGCAGCGGTTCTCAACCTGTGGGTCGCGACCCCTTTCACAGGGTTCGCCTAAGACAATCGGAACACACATATATAATGACATATTGTTTTTGTGATTAATCACTATGCTTTAATTATGTTCAATTTGTCACAATGAAAATACATCCTGCGTATCAGATATTTACATTACGATTCATAACAATAGCAAAATTACAGTTATGAAGTAGCAACGACAATAATTTTATGGTTGGGGGTCACCACAACATGAGGAACTGTATTAAAGGGTCGTGGCATTAGGAAGGTTGAGAACCACTGATCTAAGGTATTTGATAAATTACAGTGGGAAGACTGGGGAGTGTTGCGGGGCCGGGGGTGTAAGAGATCAACCAAAGGACTTGTATGCATGAAAAAAAGGAGACATATGTACTACTATCTGTAATACTTTAAACAATAAAATAAAATAAAAATATATGTCACACACACACAAAAAAACAAAAAACCAAGCTCCCATACTTTAGCTTCTGACCTTGCTGGGCCTGCAGCCCAGGTGGCACTGGTGTCCCTTTCTCTCCAGGTTGCCACCTTCCCTGCCTTGGGCTTTGTGGGAAGGGTGGGGGCAGGAGAAGAAAGGCCCATCCTTTAAGCAAATCTATGCTATTGTATTATAAAGTAGAAACTGGCTACTTTTCCTGCCGTTCTCAGGGAACATACGCTGATTCAGCTTATACATAAAAGTTCTTTTTTTAAAAAAAATACTGTTTTTAAAATACAGTATTGCCAGTGCCTGCAACAGATTTTGCTCTCCTTTTCCATTTTATTTTGTCATCTTCATCGGACAAAAAGAAGAAACATTTCCAGAAGGTGTGCCATGCCGTGCTTGAGGCATAATTGCATTTTCCAGCGTCCCCAGTAATTCTCAAGGCAGAGACTTGTCCTCAGAAGGGAGATTAGAGATTTGGTCATGAGTTTGAATCTAACTTTGTAGTAAATTTATTTTAAAATAATGGGAAATCCCTGAGTGAAGTCTATAAAGTTAGACCCAACAAAGGATGTGATTTTCTGTGTGCATGTAAAACACATAACCTATTAGTAGTAGTTCTACTTCATCACCAACTAACTCATGGATTTTGACAACCCAAAAGCATTGTGTTTTATAAGGGAGATTAAAGTGCACAATGTAATACTTTTTAAAAAAGGCTTAGGGGTACAAATGATTGCTGACAGAATGAGGGGTATATTACAGTTATGAATAAGCATAAATGTCACGTTCTGAAATGGTACTTTCCACTGATTTTTTGTTTCTCCTTATCCATGCTTCTGATCCCAGCACTCTGGCCATGGTGGCGCAGTAGCTGGCAAGAAGAATAGAACCTGGAAGAACCTGAAACAAATCCTCGCTTCTGAAAGGGCATTGCCGTGGCAACTGAATGATCCTAACTGTGAGCTGTTTAACACCTTCTTTGAGTGTATAATGTTTCCACTGGGAATTTTCTTACAACAGACCTACGTTATTGTGTTTGCATAAGTGGAGGAAACAGTTTTTAGCTTAGGAATTTTATAGTGGTGTCAATATAGGGAGATTATGTGTACATTTCCTCATAACTTATCTGTACTCTGTTGTCATGGGTGTGTGGTTTTTAATGTCACTGTTAGCATGTCAATCTGGAGAAACAAGTCCTGATATAATAATATTGGTTTGACAAACCAATAAGAAGTTTGGCAAACTTCTCATTCAGAAGTCTGCTCTTAAAATTTATTTGCAAGAACAAGGTTGCCCCAGATTTGGTAGGTTTCCTAACAACCAGCTTAAAGGCAAGCTTTGTTTTACTGTCTGAGCCAGTGTTTTTCAGAATAAATGCTTTGGGCTACAGCATTTCCAAATCTATGTAAAGTGCTCTTTTATATTCTGTTCAGCTTCATTGGAAAGTACAGGTAAAAGTTTCCTCCAGCTCCTGTCCCACTGCACATCTTTCATGGGGGGCGGGGGTGTGTGTGACTCAGATAGATGACAAGTGAGCTAGTCAGTTGTCTGGGTGTGGACATTCCAGTATCTGGGTGCTGAGACCCAAGCAGTGGGTCATCTGGCACCTCATCACCCTCAGCTCATGAAGCCCAAGACTGTGAAAATGGCTTGTGGGCAGACGAGCTTTCCCTGTGGTTCTGCTAGAGTGGATGGTCCCTGGGGGCAGGGCAAAGCTAGCCCTTGGGCTAGAAGGGAGCTGAATGTCTGAAAGTCAGTTTAGTTATCTTCTTTTTCTTGTTTTGCAGACTTCAGTATTGATGCTCCTCCATCCTTCAAACCAGCTAAGAAGTATTCTGATGTTTCAGGTCTTCTTGTGAGTATAATTATATCTCTATGCCTCATAACATGGAATTGAAAGGAAGGTTTCACAGTATTGTCTACTTATACAGTGTTCAATATTGACCACCACTGGTCCTGCCTGGAGCCCATATAATGTGCTGGAGTGTTCACTTGTTTGTTTCAGAGTGGCTGTCACCTGGGCATCATGTGGGCAGTCTGGAGTGAGGATTGCTCCAGAAAGGAGACCAAGTTTCACTTCCCTGTACTTATATGAAAGATGCTTCATATATTCTCATGTTAACTACATGGGGAAAAAAAAACCCACAAACTTTTATAGTACTCAAGTTTAAAAAGTCTGCATTTTTGAGGGATTGTACTCTTTAAAAAATATTTAAACTTCTCTAAAGAGGCACTATGGTAAAGATAGTGGTTTTCAAGCATATTTTTAAGCACCAGAACCCCTTTTCCAAGTGAAATCCTTTACAGAATCCCCTGGAGCCCACCTACCCACTGTGTGGGTCTGGTCCTCTGTCCTCCCCACTGCCCACCACAGTGACCCCTAAAGTGCTTCTAGGAACACAGTTTGAAAACCGTGGTAGGATGAGTGGGACTTAGGCAAGTTGCTGACCCTCAGGAACCTCAGGGAGCCTTGTCTCCTTTTCAGAATGTAGATGAAGGGTGGAACTTTCAGCTCACCTTCATCCTTTTTCATCACTACTCAACTCGGAAAATGGGCTTTTCTTCCTGACTGTAGAACTAATAGGTCACTGCACTTTTAAAAACTCATCCGCATCATTTAAATGCTTTACATTTTTATGAAAATGTATGGCTCCAACTTCTATAACAAACTGACTAAATGGTACACAGTTTACATCGGTAAGGATTTGAGTTGTTTTGTAATCTTGAAAATAATATTATTTGTACTCTGAATTAGTCATATGTTTTAGCTTTCCTCCAGAGAGCACACACTCCTCAGTGTATTACAAACTTTTTAATACAGGAACTTAAATACAGTGATTCTTAAAAAACGATAGAGTAGAAGTGCCGTAAAATGGAACATGCCTGCTTGAGTGTACATGTGGGGGGGGGCGGTGCGTGCATGTGTGTGCATGCGTGTATGCTGGATTCCTTTTGTATCCACTCATGGCATGTACCTCCTCCTAAAGGTCCCCTGATGGGACTTCACCTTGAGAGAAATGTTGTAGCCTTATGCTGTCTCTTGTCTACTGCCGGAAAATAGTTCCTCATACACTTGACCCTTTTTAATAGTTGTTTATGGCAGAAGAACTAGCTTAGCACCAGTTACTCTGTTATGGCCCCAAATTTCTCCCTGTACCATTTTGTGCTGAGCTTATAGAAGCCATGGGTCATGGCCAGACTTGGAGGGTGGTCCCTTACAAAATGTAGCTTTATCCTCAGCATTATCAGGCAGCTCATCTGCTATACAATGGTTTTCACACATTAGGAGGCATGAAAGTCATTGTGAGAACCATTGTTCCAGGCCCCTTTATGCCACTGGCAAAGGACTTGTCATGTTACATAAAACCTAACACCTCTTGCTCCAATGCATGTAAGATTCAAGAAATTTTGAACATACAAAGAGCTCTACCATATCATTGAAAGACAAACCATAGAAGAATTGGCTAAAAGACAATTACAAGGAGGAGATACACATGACCAGTAAGTGGATATTCATGCTCACTGATAATGAGGAAAAGACTCATCAGGTAGGGAAGAAGTGCATATCCTCATACATTGCTGTTTGAGGTGGGAACCTGCATTGGTACGGAGTCTTTGGATGTCAGTTAGGCACTACCTACTGAGACAAGCAAAAGCCTGTGATCCAGCATCGCCTTCCAGACGGCTCCCTTAGAAACAGTGTGCCCAAGGAGCTGTATGCAGAAATGTTTGGGAGGAAATGGATTAGCAGAATATTGGAGACAACATAAAGGTCAATCAGTGGGAGAAAGGAGAGTGTTTTCATACTAGTCTATGAGCTTGATATGTATGTAACAACGAGGATTAACTTCCAAGATACATTGTTTACTGAAAGGTACAAAGCAATGTAGTCTGCGTAGTACCACCTAAGTAAAAATCAGCACATGCTTACAAAAAAAATGTGAGTAATTTCTCTGGTGTGTTTATGTTTGTGTGAGGTATATGGACACAGTCTGGAAAGTACCCACCTAGCAGTGGTATCCTCAGGGGAAGGCAAAAGACTTGGGATGGTAGAAGGGGACTTTAGTCTTATTCGAAATGTTGTCTTTTTCTTTTCTCTTTTAGAGGAAAATATGTTCATCTGTTACTTGTATAAATTAAAGTTACATAATTAAAAAATAAGCCCAGCTCATGTTTATACTGACCCACCTTTTCCCAAGCCAGCCAAGCAACTGTTTCCCTGTGTGTGGGCATGGCAGGGAGGCATGCAGGGTCACATCTGTGTTTAGCTAGCTGTTGTTACACAGCTATGGAAAGCACTAGGCTCTGGGAGAGATGGGGGGGCAGTGAGCACTGCGGTCACCCCGCAGCGGGGGAGGCCTGAAATCTGTTTGCTGCCTGCCCTCTTTGCGGAGGGGGGAAGGGGGGGTGGGGAAGATGGCCTTTGTTTCATTCGGGCGCCCTGGATGGAATCCGGAGGAGGTCCTAACTAGGAGTGCAGTTCTTTACTGGTTCAGCTGTGCTGTGTACTTGGCACCCTCCCCTCTGTTCAGAACTCTAGGTCAGGTGCCGTCTGTGCAAGTTCTCATTGGTGACCTTTTTGTTGGTGCCACAGTATCTGTGCATTTTGCATTAGTTATTCAGCAGCCTTCTTGGCAGTGAGGTCTGAACTTGGGCGGGCCGGCTTAGCACAGTTTGGTGGTAGGAGTGAGGTGGCCACAGGAATGGAGCCAGGCCAGGCTGGTTCTCGTATGGAGGCCGGATGATCAAAGCCAGATGCACACGCCTGCACCCCTGCTGGGAACTGCAGGCAGCCTCCCCTGCCAGTCAGATCATCTCACTGCTCATGGCCAGAAGCCTCAGAAGGGGCTTGTTGCTGCTTTTCTGTTTAAGCCTTCCTGTATATTACTGTCTTCTATTACATTACTTTCCAGTGTTACAGAAAGGCAGTATCTAGATCAGTGATGGCGAACCTATGACACGTGTGTCACCTTGACATGCGTGTCATAGGTTCGCCATCACTGATCTGGATCAAGCCAAAGGATCAGAGCTTTGTTTCTTACAGAGCTTTAATTAATCTGAGTTTTTTAGAAATAATCTCGTTTTCCTGACGGGAAGCCGTTAAGTACCTAAGGAGATCCCAGTGGCAGAATTGGAGACTTAGCGAATGAGAGACCTATGACTCAGTTCCCCACAGCTGTTGCTCCTTCACGCCCTCCCTGATTAAAGCAGCATTGCTGCTTCCAGGTCCACAGAGATGAGCACATCATCCACACTTGAGTAACTGGATGTTATGCGTCTAGACTTTAACGGCATCTCATAGTTTTCTGAAAGGAGCTCCAGATGACTCACCTTCATGTCTTCTGTTTCAAAATCTAAGAAGCCCTGTGCCTTGAGATGTATGGTGGGTGAACTAGATTCTCTACTCTGCACATGGGAAAACAGAACAAAAGAGAATGTTGGTATGTCAGTGGGAAACAGGTTCTTTTTTCTGTGATGGTCCTAAGTGTTCATTTAGTGGTTCATTCATTCATCTATCATTTGCTGTACAAACACTGCCTGAAGGCCTACTGTGCTCTGCATTGCACTAGGAGCCAGGATTCAGTGATAAGCACACCACAGGGTTCCTGCCTCAGGGAACCTCAGAGCTTGGGCGTTAATCAGAGGCTCATGCAGATAATATACGTAAAAGCAACAGCGATAAGCATCCCACAGGGGACACATGTGGTGAGGTGAGAGGGTGGGGTCCTGACCTGTCGGGGCCAGATAAGGCTTCCCTGATGACAAGACTTTGGGGGCTGAGTCCTATGGGATGAACGGGTGATTACTGAGCATAGTGAGCCAGGGTGGGGGCTCCTTCCAAGGAAAGGGAAAATGGAGCGTAACCGAGGGAGAGACTTGGAGCCTGAGAATTGGGACAGTGAGTGAGGACATGTAGCTGAGGAAGAGCTGGCAGGGACATAGGAGCCATGCTGAGGACTGGGGCCTTTGTCCCGGAAACAGAGAAGAGCCACTGAGAGGTTTCATAAAGGACACGACCAGAATTGCAAGTTGCAAAGATGAGCCTTACTGTAGTTGCAAGTTGTAGGATGGCTGTCCCTTCTGGTGGAAGAGTGGGTGTTGGTGGCTAGCCCAGCACTGCCATGGAGCCCTGGGAGCCGTGGAAGTGGCACAGGGAGGGTGAGGAAGGGTAGGAGAGGGATGCCCTGAAGTAGGAGGAAGGCAGCAGGGAGGGGCATGGAGGTGCTGCTCCCTGCCTTGGGAACAGATCTGCAACATTTGTTTGAAGCAGGTGGGAGATTGAAGGCAGGGATGATCATCATGAATTCAGTTTTGTAGCCCTTGAGGCACCAACCAGAAGAGTCCTAGAATCTGATGTGGTTATTCCTCTTCCTCCCATTCATTCATTCCCTGAAGTCTTAAGTCTGGGAAGATTAACACGTCTTCGCCAAAGTGCGCAATTTAGTGTTCTTGGCAACAGAGTAAGACATGATGAAGATGTATTTCACTTTCAGTAAAATAGAAAAAAAAATTAAACTTGAACTTAAAATAGTCACCACCAACAGCTCTCTGCCCTTCTCTGTGCCTCTTCCTACCCAGGCCAACTACACTGACCCGCAGAGCAAGCTGCGGTT